ACTACTCATACTATATCTAGAACTCCAACCCTTGTAAACAAAACTATAGAGTTTTGATTTTAATTTCTACTGATGGTAATTCGGCTTCCCTGTGGTCGACTTAAGGTCTGCCCTTTTAGTTTTCAAATGTTATAGACTATTTTACATGCACTATATTTATAGCTCTCGTGGAGCCTATGTGGGCGTTACATGAAGTTTTGTCCAATGTTTTTTTGACGGAAATTTCTAGCTTATTGGACGTCGGCTTTATTTTTTTTAGGTTTGTTTACCAATTTGTTTTCTTAAAATATTCGGTAATACTTTTGAAATAACTAACGCTCTGCAAACAAGATTTTTTGCCCAAATTCGTTACTGGTAACTCTTTGAAAACCTAAATAAATTCATCTTTATATCAAATAAAAATACATTCTCGTTCCTGAAAATTTTCTTTTTCAGCAAGCCTGACTGACAAAACGCAACCAAAATAATTGTAGCTTTTAAAAGTTTCAAGAAAAAATAAATTTGCGAACACACACGCAAAGGCAAATCTTAGATGAAGCAGAGTTTCGAGATTAACTTTTTCCCTAAGCAATCAAACTCTAGAAATTAGATTTTTTTTTGAAATTTAAATCATCCTTAACTTAATTTATACTTTTTCAGCTAAAAATTAACCAAAAATCCACTTGAATGCTTTCAGAAAAGCAAAAATAAGCAGAAAACTTTGATGTTTTTTAGTCCATCATTGTTAAAGATCAGTGCATCAGCGTTCAATAAATCAAGTGGTTAGCTTCACACTAAATCAATAAACGTTTCACTAAATCAACTTCAAGCTTTGCCGGTCTGCCATCTAGATGAGACAGATACACTGCCAAACTTAAATTGAACAATTAGGCACAGAAACCATTGCCACAAAATTTTTAAAAGAAAAAACTGAAACACAAAAATAAAGAAGGTACTTTACCTTATACTAATTTTCGTAAAAGTTATGTGGATTTAGAAACTGAATATTCAAAACAAAACGGCAGGTAACCTGTGCAGTCTTACAACCATCGCTGGGAGCAATTTAACTCGGATAAAAAATTAAACCAAACGGAATTGAGTCAAACTCATTGATCAAACTTTTGTCTTACCTGTCGCCAAAAAAGTTAATTCTACTTGAAACTGCGTGTAGGAGATGACTGCCCTCAAATACGTCAAAGGGCGTTAAAAACATTAAGAGCTTTGCCCTGATTCAGTATTCTTGTCCTTCAAGTTTTTTGCCGTACACTAGCTTGTATTTTTTGGCTCCATTCATTCCTAGGTTGTCGTTCATCACTGATTTTGCTGGTTTTCTGTGTTTCAACATAAGCGGCACATTGTGAGTTTTTGATCAGCAGCAATTTCAATTTTCCTTTAATCCATGTTTTTCATTGTTAGGCAAGAGTTGGATCGATTGTTTACAAAAAGTTTCAGCAGTGGAATCCATAATAAAGAAAAAAAGGCTTCGTTGCAGATTGCACAACCCAGTTTTTTTCTTGATTTTTCGTGGCCAAACCAATTGTCTAATATCTTCAATTTTGTCTATTTGGCGTGCAATCGCTTACTCTGTTCACTTGTCTACTCTTCTACTCTTCCACACACGGTCTTGCGAAGCTATCCCTTTTACCGTTTGCTTAAGCAGGGGGCACTAAGGCTCGGTATTAACGACAATCCCGAAAGGGTTATGTTAGTGGTGAGTTGTCCTCTAATGTATTCTATTGCTCCCCCTTGGTCAGTGATGCTATTGCTCGCTATATCTCGCTTGAAGTCGCGTACAAAGAATTCCTTTTTTGCAAATGAATTCAATATATATAAGTCCGAATACAAAGGGCCTACTAGTTCGGCCAGAGTATAATTTATTAATATACAACAGAATGGTTTGCGATCTGTACACGCTTAACAATTTCTTCTGCGTACTCGGTCAGTACACGCGTCGACTAAGCTCTCTGACTTTTGCTAGCTTCTACTCTAACTAATATTCCACAAGGCACTTCGACTTGCGTTCTTACTTCACTCGCTGTGAAACAATTAACTGATGAGTTCAGATAGCGACCACAACTAGGATCTACTGAATCTTACGTTCGTTAACTCATTCTCTCTTCAAAATCCGCTCTCGAACCTCCACTTCTTATCTCTATTTGCGCTCCGTTTTTGTTAAAATCACGCCACTTCATATCGGTGTTGTCATCCCCTTAAGCACAACCGCCCCCTATGGTTTTTCCTTTTACCTACTCCCCCTGTCAAAGCAGACCGGGTTCCAAGTCCGGGGTTTTTATCGACTTGTTCACGTTTCATAAATACATCCCCCTGCGGTTGGTATCGTAAATCGGGTAAGTAACCGAAGTCGTATGATTCTTATCAGTTAAATCCCCCTTCGCTACTTACTTAAATACCAGCTGACTTCGGTGTCAAATCCTGACCCAAGCACCAAAGTCGTACGATCCCAATAAACTAATCATAACCCGATTTTGTACCAAATTTACTAATGTTTTCCCTATCATGTTAGGATAAAATACACGGTCGGGGGTAAGTTTTGCTTTTATACTCGGTAGTAGCCCCATGACCCAATTTACCCTAGGCACATAATTCCGTGCATGTACAATCCCATAGCAATTAGCTACCTACAGGTATAAGCCGTTTTCCATTTTCTTAATCCCAGCCAGAGTTAGAGGGGGAAATGTCCGGGTAAAAGTGCATTTTTCTTCAATTTTATTTCTACTACTTTATTTAGCTTTAAGTCCACTTTTCAATCTTTCTACTTTGTTTACCCTTAGCTAACAGCCATCCGATTAAGCTATTTAGACCTCATAACGAGAAATGAAATACCTAAGCTTAAACCAAGGTAACGATACCCAAGCAGAAAATACGCTAAGTCGAAAATTTGCTAGAATTACATATTCTACAGTCTTCCTTTCTAGTCTATTATTCTCCCGAATAATGTTAGGTTTTTCTAGGTTTTTATATTTAGACCTCATAACGAGAAATGAAATACCTAAACTTAAACCAAGGTAACGATATCCAAGCAGAAAATACGCTAAATCGAAAATTTGCTAGAATTACCAATTCTACAGTCTTCCCTTCTAGTCTATTATTCTCCCGCATAATGTTAGGTTTTTCTCTCCCCCCTTTTTTTACCATTAAATACTGAATTACTCACTATATACAATCTATACTTTGTTTAGGTGTAAGCTATAGTTAAGTTTAAGTTTAAGCTATAAGTTTAATCAGTTCCTTCCTCTATAAATTCCTTGGTTATTAGCGAGAGTTTATAAACTGTCCTCTCCTAACTTTCGGCCCCCGAATTGGTTGAGGATTCGTCATATTCGTCTGACCAATTCCCCTCTCCCCATTGGGCCTGGAGCGCCCGATATTCCTCCTCCCTAATGGTATGTCTGATTTCGTCAAAGAGGTCCCTAATTTTGGGCCTATCACTGGGCCTCCTCCTCCTAGACCTTCTAGAGTGATGAGGACTGCTTGCAGAGTCCTCATCACTCTCCCAACTGAGAAATCTCTCCCGCCCAGACTTCTCCGAAGGCGGTTGACCCTCGGTCGAGCAAGTGTCAGTTGCCGGGTCACGGGTGGGCTCATGTACATGAAATTGGCCCGCAGTTGAGCAACTCTCCAGATCGGGCTCCCCCGGATTGAACTTCCAGAGAGATGTGCTCACATCCGGCACCGTCTCTTCGACTCTAGAGTAGTGTCGGAAAGGCCTTGGGGCACCATGCCCCCGCAGAAACAACCGGAACTCATGCCAGGAGGCGGTGTCTGCCAACAGGTGCAGGGAGGCACCACTCAATACTCATCTTCTTCCTGGTAGTCTGGGATGGTGAAGACGGCTCGGAGGATGAAGTATCTCCACAAAATTGAGGTTTTGGCAACTTTTTTTTCTTTTGGTAACTTAGAGAATTTATTAAAATTCGACGGTTCCTTAACGACTGATTTTTGATAGTAACAATGCACGGTTTCAGCCTTCGTGGTTCTCTTTTCCCTTATCTTCACCTGTTCAGATGTTCGTATCGAGGCGACACAACGGCCCGTCAATCAATCGGTTGCTTTTACTTAAGATTGTAATCTGTCATGTTCGTCGGTTAACCTCTGGGTGGGTCAAACACAATCTGTCATGTTCGTCGGTTAACCTGCAAGCCTGGCCTCGAAAGTCTTGTATGCTATGTATTAGCCTGAGTTTGCGCTAAATTAACCTGATTAAGTCATTAATGTCCCTCAACTTCTTTAACGTCGCCTAACGCATCCTACTAAATTGTATCGTGTGATCGCAAACCTCTAGTCAGTCCCCGTCAAATAAAAGCACGTATGGTTATACCATGAATGAGGGGTCAGCTGAGCTGACTCGGGGACATGACTGCTATCAAGTTACTCCTCACGGTGTGATCCTACCTCATCCGTTTAGATACATATGAATGTTTGAATCGAAGTAGTGATATCCATGAGGTGGGGTCACACCCTAGTATAGTAGCACCGAATACGATGAGCATTATATTGAATTTATGAATATATAAAATGTCTTAGACTCACAACCGGTCGGACTGGTTCTCACCCTCCTGGTCGCTTCAACATCCCCTCCTCACAGAGTGGTGTCCATCAGCGCGCTTGTACCGATCCGGGGTCCACGTCCAGAAACCCCCTTCCACTTGCCTCGCATATAGTTAAAGCCTCGTCCCATCAGCGGTGTGCTCGACGCCGCACTTCCCTCTGTGGTCCTTGTAAGGTTCACTTCATCGAATGATGAGCTAGCGGATACTCTGGGGGGTAGGTATATCTGCCCAGAGAACGAATCATCTCTGGAGGGTCCCTGGGGATAACTGTTGGGTCTCTGTGATCCACCCTCGTAGTTGGGGTCATATCTAGGTGGCGGCACCCCTCGATGTCGTCCTAGTGGCGCACAGCAATAGGAGTCATCGAAGTCCGCGCCTCGTTGGCGACGCATATTAATTCCCAGTAAACGCGCCCTCCTTGAAAAACAACGCCAGTGCACGCAGCCTAATATTAAAAAGACTGCGACCAACAGCCAGATCACCAGTCCCAGTTGCACAGGTCCACTGCGCATCATCTGTCAATGAAAAGCGGTGTGTTTACGTAAAATTTCATCAGCAAAGGGCTTGGCAATCTCCGATAGGGCTTCCTCGTCCACCGACCCCTCTGGCAACTTGATCAGATTGAGTCGGAGTGCTTCGACCATCTCACTCCTCGCCTGCTCTCGTAAGATCTCCGGTATCATGACTCCTGGGAACAAGGTCCGGATCAACGGGTGTTGTCTGATCGTCACCGTTAATCCAGTCTCGTACTGGCAGGTCCGTGGGTCTGGCACTAGAACCAAAGCACCATCTGGCGTTTCGATCCTACCATCGCAACTGGGTCGTAGAAGGCAACTTCTGCAACCGGATATGGGTTCACCCCTCTCCTTAGCTCCTCTGCTGTAGTTGAAAAGCGTATAATCATCGTCCCGTGAAGTTACCAAATAAGTTGAGTCGTCCATGTACACCGTGGGGATTTCTGGCAGAAGAATCACCTCCTGAGGGCACAACTTCAACGCATCGTCCAAGATATACCCGTAATTTTGTACTGGCATTTTGAACGCTATCAGTTCGGCTCTGATGGTGTCAAAAGTCGCTGAGTGGTTCGCAATCACTGTGGAATACTTCAATGTTTGTCCATAGAGCGAGTTCCAGTTATACATCTTACAGGCCCTTTTCTCCTTTCGTTGGTCGTCAGTCCCACCTAGAACATGCCTCAATAATTCCCTGAACAGTTCGAAGTTTGCATTCGAGTCGTGCGATATCATTTTCAGCTGGGTCTGCGTCTTGTTAAGAGAGTGGCCCTAAAGATGCAACCTCTCCCCGGTTTCGAGTACGATGGTCCGGACAGCCCCATCCAAGAACGAAGCTTCGTTGCCCAGCACGTCCAAGTTCGATTCTCCATCGCAGAGACCAAAGAAGGAGAAGTAGTGACAAAACCCTTCCTTGAGTATCGGAGCTAATACTATGGCGGTCGCAAATCCTCCCAGCGCTGGCTTGATCCACCTTTTTGCTCTCGTGGAGCTCTTTTTGTGCTTGTCGACGAAGGTCGTAGCTCGGTTCTTCATCTCGTAGAGCACGGCCTCTATTTCACTAATTTCGTACTCAATGCCTTTGAATGCCAGGTAGGTTAGATTCACAAATGCTTCCGTAGTGATGTTGTCACCGCAGATCTTGCCAACCCATTCTTTCCAGCGATCTGCCAACATATACTGATGTTCCTGGAAGGCTATATCGAGGAGTGTCCGATTAATCGCAGGGTCCACGGGGAATGGTACCGAAACCCAAGATGTTTCCATTGCGCTCGCAATGATGATGGGAGTCTCCGCCATGAACACTGCTCCGGCGTTATGGTTGATCGTCACTGCCGATGAGGGCAAGACTCCAAGTAGCAAGAGGATTGCCAGCCCGACCAGCCATGAGTTCAAATGTAGATTACAATTTACGATCTAAACAGCAATAATAAAAAAAAACTAAATGAATAAGACCGTCGCATCCCTAAGTATCTGATGTTCCCCTGGAATTTGGAAAGCCTATAACCATTAAACTATATCCATTAATTTCATTAAATATTTCCCTTAAGTTTTAAGTTTTGGTCTCCCCTTTCTGAAGTTATAGCAATTTTTTTTTTGAAGGTCCTAAATGTTTTAAAATTTATCTAGCTAATAGGTATAATGGGGAAAGAAAGTTTTAATAGTGTTTATCTGATTGGAGTTGGAGTTAGCCCCGCTCGAGCTCGTCAATCCCAAAGCGAACAGGAGGTCGCCGTCTACGACTAGGTCGGCCCTCGCCCTCTGCCTCGTGCTCTCCCCTCAACTCCAAGGATTCGTTAGGTTCTGGTGGAGCAAGTTCCTGGTCCGCTGGCGCGTTCGTATGGTCGTCTTCCCTTCTGGTCTCCAGTTCGGCTGCGTCGTAAGTCTCCACTACTTCGGCTTCGATTTGGTTCGGATCCTCTATTGGGTTAGGGCTCTCTAGGGGTTTGTCGTTCAACCGGGCATTCGGAGTTAGTCGTGGGGTAGGTAACCTCAATGGTATTAACTCGTGGGTCTCTCCAATAGCCAATTCCAAATTTTCTAATTCGTCGTCTCTAATTCCAGGGTCGTCAAAGAATCTGACCGACCGTGAAGGGGTCGGACGCTTAGAGCGGGAAGCCTCGTTGGATTGCGGGTTCTCCTCCACATACGGTTTCAACATGTTAAAATGCAAATACCGGACCTTTGCGGGGGTGGAGGGTTTGGCCACCTTGTAATTCACTTCAGAGACTTTGGCCAAGACCACATAGGGCCCATCCCATGGTAAGAAGAACTTCTTCGACTTTATCTTCTCTTTCGCCCAAAACCACACTTTGTCTCCCGTCGCGTACGGTTCTCCGTGAACTCTTTTCCGATATTGATCCTTCTGGCGTCGCTGATTAGTTCCCAGTAGCTCTAGAGCGCTGCTATGGGCGTCTCGGAATTGTTCGTCGAGCCATTCTACAAACCCATCCTGTGTCGGAACTTCGTCGTAGGGTTTTGGGTAGAACAGGTCAATTGGGTACTGGCATTCCTGTCCATGTACTAGATTGAAAGGGGTCGCACCGGTTGTTCGGTGGATGGTAGTATTATAGACGAAATTCAAGTAGGGCAATACTGTATCCCATGTCCGGGGGTTGTCCGCGCAGTACTTTGAAATGACGTCCGCAATTACCCTATTATGACGTTCTACCTGCCCATTGCCTTGGGTGTGGTACGGGGATGTGCGGGATTTATCGATCCCCAGCAGTGGGCACATTTCGAGGATGAGATTGCTCCCAAAGTTCTTCCCTTGATCGGTGTGCAGGATGTTTGGTGCCCCAAACTTGAGTACCCAGTTCTCGACTATCTCCCGGGCCACCTCTGCCGAATCCGTGGATGCAAGTGGGACGGCAATTGCATACTTCGTGAACAAGTCCGTCATCACTAAGATGTGCTTCGCACGAGACTTTGCTGCCAACGTCACGGGCCCTAGGATGTCCGCCGCCAATGTGTTGAATCGGATCCCCGCCCAGCGACCCTCTTTTTTTCTCCTGTGCTCCGCGCTGCACAAGTGAGGCACCATTGTTTCTTCTTCTCCATGTCTGTCCTCATGGTGGGCCACCAGAACCGTTGACGAATTCGAGCGAGGGTCTTCTCAACTGCAAAGTGTCCGCCGCTAATCTGCGAGGAGTGCAGCTTGTTGAGGATCTCCTTCCTCCCGGTTGCAGGAACAATCGTCTGCAATATCGGACACAAGTCATCCCTTGGGAACCAATTTTTATAGAGCACCCCCCTCGGATACTTAGTTCGTTCCATCTAGACCAGTAAGCTAGGGCCTCAGGTCCGTACTGTATCGCTTGCTCTTTGGGAATGAGGTTTGTCCCCAGAGATGGCATATCGCCCGCGTCGCCTTCCAACTCCGTCCAATAGAACACCTGAGACATCGCGTCATCCTCTTTTTGCAGAGTCGATATTTCAGAGGGCGCCCGTTCCCAGGTAATCGTTTTTTCCTCGTTCTCTTCCTGGGTCTCGCTGATCATTGTGACAGTTTCGACTTGGTGCTGCTTTGCTTTCTGTAAGGCCAATTCGAGAGACATGGGCTCTGGGCAAGACCCGAATGCCTTCTCCTTCTCCCCTGGCATCCAGTCGGGCCCTTCTTCTAGCATCCTGGAAAGACCATCCGCGTTTCCATGTTTAGCCCCAGCTCTGTGGACTACATTGAAGTCAAGCTCTTGAAGTTGCTGTTGCATTCGGAAGGTCATTCCATCGGGTTCCTTCTGCCTAAAGAGCCATTGAAGGCTGGAGTGGTCGGTGCGAAGGACAAATTTTACCCCCAGATGTAGGGTTTGAACCATTTCACCGCTTGCACCACAGCCAAGGCTTCTCGTTTTGTCGTTGAGTAATTCGTCTCTGTTTTTGATAGTACCCTGCTAGTGTACACAAGTGGTCTCTCCTCCCCGTTGATGACGTTCGAGAGTACAGCGCCCAAGCTGGTATTGCTCGCATCAGTATCCAATATAAAGGTTCCCGTGTAGTCAGGAAATTCCAGAACTGGGGCCGTAATAAGCTCTTTCCGTAGACTATCGAAGGCTGTCTGACATTCGTCGTTCCAGATAAAGGGCACCTTCTTTTTCGTCAAAGAGGACAGGGGTCTCGCAATCCCAGCAAAGTCCTTCACAAATCGACGGTAGTAATTGCATAATTCGAGGAAAGACCTCACCCCCTTAACTGTTTTGGGCACTGGCCAGTTTTCAACCACTTCAACTTTCTTCGGATCCACTTGGATACCACCATTTCCAATTAAGTGGCTCAAATAAGTCACCTCTTTCTGTACCAACCTGCATTTCTTCGGCTTCAGTTTCAAATTTGCCTCCCTTAGTAGCTGGAAGGTAGCCTTCAGGTGTGCAAAATGGTTGTCTTCGCACTTGCTATACACCAGCACATCATCGAGGAATACTAGGGCCCACTTCAATTCATTCACTTCAATAGGTCCCGAAACAATTCATTCATGAGGCGCTGGAACGTTCCCGGAGCATTGGACAGCCCAAAGGGCATCATAACGTACTCATAGAATCCTCCATCCGGTGTCACAAAGGCTGTCTTGTGTCGGTCTTTCTCGGCTACAGGCACTTGCCAATACCCACTCGCCAGGTCGAGGGAAGATAAGTACTTCTGCCCGTTAAGAGCATCGAACGTTTGATGTATCTTCGGAATCAGAAATGCGTCCTTGAGAGTTACATCATTCAGCTTCCGATAATCCACACAGAACCGCCAACTCCCGTCTTTCTTCGTTTGCAAGACAATTGGTGCACTATAAGGGCTTTTTGAAGGTTGGATCACCCCTTTCTCCAGCTTGCTCTTAACTTCGTCCCTGATGATCGGCATCTTTGCGGGAGATGTTCGATGGGGAGGGGGAATCTTGATAGGGCCCGAGTCTCCAGTATCAATCCGATGTGTCACCAATTTAGTTTGGCCAAGTTCGGCATCTGTCAAAGCGAACACATTTCCATAAGTACTGATCAACTGTTTCAGCCGGTCCCTCTCCGTTCCTGTCACCTCGGGAGCTGCTAGTTCTAGAATTTTCTCTATATCTTCATCTAGATGTCGTTTAGCCTGTACTTGAAAATCCATCGACCCTTCCTCTTGCATTCCCTGCACCTCGTGGTCCTGACTGACGGGGGGCCAACCTTCTACAACATCCCCCATTGCATATGATGACTCAACGTTTGACCCACCAAGAGGAGTGTGTGGTTCGGTTAAGGGGGTACTGTGCGACGAGCTTACGTCCCAGTAATTATCGTCCTCTGGCGGGTGTTTAGGGTATGAGGTCACCTTCAATATTTCGGATTGCAGGGGAACTATAGATCCCTCTTTCCGTCCCGTCCAGAGGTTGTCACACCGGAAATCTAACGAGCATTCATGCTCCTTTAAAGACCGAAGTCCTATGATCATTTCCGCTTTCAGCTCAGGCACCACCAGGGCTTCGACCTCATCGTCGATCGACCCTAGGTTCAAGTTAGCCGTCACCCATCCCTCGACTCCCACTTGCCTTCCATCCGCTGTTTCTAGTGTCCCTTTGTAGGGCCGTAACGGTGGGGCTGTAGTCAAATTATGGTACACCTCGCTTCGTAATAGGTTGATCGTAGCTCCCGTATGCACCAGTGCTTTTACCGGTAGCCCGCCCAAAATCGCTTCCGCTATTAGCCCGAATGGTGCTTCAGGCACTCGGCAAACACTCACGAATTCCAAGGAACTCTCTGTCTGACACTGGATACTCGTGAGTTGTTTAGGTTCTTACAGTCGACTGGGGGTCGTTTGGTGGAATAAAGTCTGAACTTGCTCTGTTCCTCGAAAGCCTTCGCCTCTCATTTGCACCTGAGGGCTCGTCGTGGGTTCAAGCGGTACATAGAGGGGTTGGAAGTGGGGGATGGGTGATTTACTCGCTGTTGATTCTTTATCTCGGCCGGGACAAAACCTCCCTGATGCATATTCAATGCCCCGGCCCTTGGTAGTTTAAATGATCCAAATTCTTTTGGGGGCACTCCTTCGCAAAATGACCCGGCTGGCCGCAGCCAAAACAGTTCCCACGGGGTATCTGGTTTTTCATTCCGTAACGACCTCCAAGGCCAGGAGATAAGTTCGATCTTTTCTCGCCAGGTTGGGGTTTGTATAGTTGTCGGGGTCGTTGGGAAGGTTCCGACCGCGGTAAGTTTTCCGGGTGGGGGACGGGGATGATAGAATTAACAAACCTACCCATCATGGCCGTCATGTTCTGCATCTGAGCTAACGGATCATTCTGGACACTCACCAGTTGGTCGATGTGGGGGTCATTGCTCGCCTGCTGACGTCCCTGACTAGCTCCCACGGGTTGTTTTCGAGGGATCTGTCGCCTACACTCCAACCAGCCTCAGCACCTGGCTCTGCGACATTTTCGGCAACCCTCGCAAGGTGCATCTTTCTCCGGTTCCGGGCCCTGGACGTTTTATTCACAAGGTCCAATGCTTGGGCGCGGGCAACTGCTTGCGCTAGGCTTCCTAGATCTTCTCGCAGAAGTAGGTCTTGAAGGTCCACGTCAAATAGCCCGTCTATGAACTGTTCTCGGTTCATATCGTCTCGAGCTTGAGCTCCCACATTTCCCTCAAGCCCTCCTTGTCTCCTTGCATCAGACTTTTGAACTCCGCCCTAGCCGCTGCTTGAGTTTGGAAGGGCATCATACGCTGGTCTAGTTCGGCCAGCATCCGTGCAAGTGTTGGCGCTGGGAAACCTTCTGCCTCCTCTCTGAAGTGGGCTGGCATGCTGGTAAATTCATCCAGAGCCCATCCTGTCAGACACGTAGGCAACACCATCCGAGCCTGTTCATCTTCCCATCTGTTAGCATCCGAAACCCAGGCGGAATGCTTCCTCCAGTCGGCCCAGTTCTGTTAACTACTGGAGGGAAACCGATCGGGGCGAATGGTGCCAAAGCCAAAGACTCCTTGCTGCCTGTCCAAAGCATTCGCTGCCGCCACAGCAGCCTCTGCCAATGCAGCTCTATTGTCGTCGTTCATCATCGTGTTTGCTCACGGGATGGTTGTTCGTTCGTTTGCAACTTCAATCTAGGACAAAGCCCACCCAGGAGCGCCAATGTCGTCTTTACGATTTCCACACACGGTCTTGCGAAGCTATCCCTTTTACCGTGCTAAAGCAGGGGGCACTAAGGCTCGGTATTAACGACAATCCCGAAAGGGTTATGTTAGTGGTGAGTTGTCCTCTACTGTATTCATTTGCTACCCCTTGGTCAGTGATGCTCTTGCTCGCTATATCTTGCTTGAAGTCGCGTACAACGAATTCTTTTTTTGCAAATGAATTCAATATATATAAGTCCGAATACAAAGGGCCTACTAGTTCGTCCAGAGTATAATTTATTAATATACAACAGAATGGTTTGCGATCTGTACACGCTTCACAATTTCTTCTGCGTACTCGGTCAGTACACGCGTCGACTAAGCTCTCTGACTTTAGCTAGCTTCTACTCTAACTAATATTCCACAAGGCACTTCGACTTGCGTTCTTACTTCACTCGCTGTGAAACAATTAACTGATGAGTTCAGATAGCGACCACAACTGGGACCTACTGAATCTTACGTTCGTTAACTCGTTCTCTCTTCAAAATCCGCTCTCGAACCTCCACTTCTTATCTCTATTTGCGCTCCGTTTTTGTTAAAGTCACGCCACTTCATATCGGTGTTGTCATCCCCTTAAGCACAACCGCCCCCTATGGTTTTTCCTTTTACCTACTCCCCCTGTCAAAGCTGACGGGTTCCAAGTCCGGGGTTTTTATCGACTTGTTCACGTTTCGTAAATACATCCCCCTGCGGTTGGTATCGTAAATCGGGTAAGTAACCGAAGTCGTATTATTCTTATCAGTTAAATCCCCCTTCGCTACTTACTTAAATACCAGCTGACTTCGGTGTCAAATCCTGACCCAAGCAACAAAGTCGTACGATCCCAATAAACTAATCATAACCCGATTTTGAACCAAATTTACTAAAGTTTTCCCTATCATGTTAGGATAAAATACACGGTCGGGGGTAAGTTTTGCTT